TGCAGTTCTTTTTAATAATGTTAGCAGGCGAACCTGCGTGGTAAAGATGAACACATTCAAACTAAATAACCAAAGAAAATGTTTTTACACGGATAGTGGGGCGCCAGTAGCCTAGTGGTTAGTGCGTACACTCCATGTACAGAGGCTTAAGTCCTCTTGGCCTGAATTTGAATCCAATCCATGGCTCCTTTCCTGCGTGTCACTGCCCTATCTCTTAAAATGAAGACATAAAAAGCCCCAAAAAACAAGGATAGCAGTCACAGTGGAAGCATATTAGGACAATGTAATAGAGCACTCATTAAACATTTGTTTGAGTTTTTCTGGCGTGGGTGAAAACATCGCTGAAATCCTCATTTGTTAAAGACGACGGTTGTCATGCAGCTATCACTTGAAGGAGCCCAAAAAGAATCAGATATGCAAATATAAGATACGCAGACTGAAAAGCTCCCAATATGTGCAAAACACACATTTTATCTGCAAACTGAGAGATATTGAAAACAGCTAGAGGTCTCGCCATGTTCCACAGAGACATTGTTTAATCACATTGAATGAGCCTTATCTCAAACTATTTTAGGAAGGAAATTGATACCCTCAATGGCAGGATTATATTAAGGCAGAAAGATTGTCGAATGTGACTTTTGTGCCTGATTGTGCAGAGAAACGATGACTAAAAGTGGAGGGCAGATTAGTGAACGCCGAAGTGTTGACTGGGAATTCTTCCATGGTCATTGTGTAAGTGCTGAAGCAGACAGATGCAAATGGACAGAGGAGCCGGCAGTCGTGAGCTCTGTTTGAATAAGGAGCAGGAAAAAGTCAAGTGAGAAATATCCAAGGTCTTAGATGAGTCTGAAAAGATGCAGAACTTCTCTCTCTTTAGGGGTTTTCCCCAAGCTTGCTTATAAAAAAAATCCCCCCACCCTTGTGGTTTGAAATGCAAAGTTAACAGTTTTACTCAGACCCCCCAAGGCCTGTATAGTCTCTCCTAATCTTTTTTAATGTGTCAAAAGGCTTTCTTGAGACTCTCTGTGAAATTTCACACTTAAGTTGTTTGCAAAGTCAGTCTGAATTACAGTGCGGAGTGAGGGTTCACTTTTCTGAAGGCGTGAGGAGAAACTTTTTGAAAAACTGTGTGTTTTGTTTGTGTGTGAGGGGGTGTTGGAAACAACAACAGTGTGCATTCAAACTGACTATATGTAAGGTTGGACATCTAGATTTCACAGTTTGCCTGACAAATATATAAAAAGGTCTTTGTTATTACATTAATATGATTAAATATTGTTGTCTGTGTCAGCCTAAAATAACAAATTAAACTCACCAAATGAGTCTCTCAGGTATTTTTAAATATGTGTGAAGAGTTGTGTGTACCAAACCAGACAGTGGAACAGATTATTGCATTGCACCTCAATTTAATACATTGATTTAGAATTTGTATTCATCGTACATGTTTTATATTTTACATTTGGAGGCAGATTTGTTGCGCAGCAACATATGAGACAGATGGATGGATGGATGGATAGATGGATGGATGATAATTTATTGACCCCGAGGGAAAATTCAAAGCATCCGGTAGCAGCTTACAAAAAAATGTTACAATATGAAACGTATGTTACATCTAAACAACAAGCTCTGTCCTACATCCCATACGTATATATTAACCTGAACAAAGATTTAAAGAAACCCAATAAAAAATGCAATAAAAAATTAGACCTATACCAAGAAAATGTGCATAACCCGTGAAAAAAAAAAGAGCACTAAATTAGTGCTACAGTTTAGTCCAAGAGTCACTGTGTTCTTTCCCCCTGCCATGACAGTGAGGTGTTGGACGGTTGTTTGGCCAGAGGGACGACGATGGAAGTCACAGAAGTAATTTATGGATGTTTTACAAACATACAGAGTCGTTTTTGTTTTAACTACAATTTTTTTTTATTTATCCAAATACACTGACTTGATATTATAAACAAGACATATTTTTAATACTTATTATAACAATGATCTTTATTGACTACAAATATAGAAATCTGTTTTAGATGGCGTTACCTCTTATAGTAAACTGAAGTTCAGACTATACTGAAGACACACAGTGACATGAAACAGTTCAGGCTGTAACTAACATGCTGCCAGGATGAAGCGTGTTAATGCATTTTGTATGCTGTTGGTGGTAAACAAGACTATATTTATTTTCTTAACAAGAAAGGTTAATTGCAAAGTGAATATAATTATAATACAAAGTCACATTTTTAATAATATAATATTACATTTGAATGCCCAGGCTTTAGCTATTAAAATAGTTCCACATAAAGTGCAAACACAAGTTTTTAATTACTCTACAAAACCATGCATTTATTTTAATGTACACCAAAATATAAGAATCTGACAAAAATTAAGGCGAAAAGGCAAGAAGCCATATTTGTGGTTGTGAGTTCGAAACATCTTTTGAATTCTCTGAATTCATCTGAATTCAATCTTTTCTCTTTTACTCAGTAAACTTTTACTTTTTTGTCATGTCTTCTTCAATATCGTTTGGCTGCTGTCGTAACGTTCACACAGTGCTAAGACTACTGTGCTGGATGATTCGTGCCTTTGGGGTATTTTTACCCAGAAAGCTGTGCTGTAAAGCATTATGCACTTCTATACCATGATACATTCTTGCTTAAACCAAGTATCATAGTGCAAGAACATTATGTGTACACTACACATTTACCTTATCTGCTCAGAAGGAATACTGTTGAACGTTACCAGTGGAAGAAGACACACAGGGATGGCACAGGAAGTAATGACTTAATAGCAAGAATTAACATCTTGCTTTATAATATAATCTCAGGCCACACTCATTAACATTAAGAGGTCAAACACAAGCAGCGACTAAAACAGCAGCTTAGTCAAAGTGAAAATCCTCTCCACTACACTCACATTTTGGTTGAGATTGTTCGCATTTGATTAGTTTCATCCTCCTCAAAAAGGACTGAATCCATTCTCTTAATGTAATTTGCGGAAAATGTACCATGACAGTGTAATTATTTAGAGGGGGCCAATTTGCATTTCCACTGCTCTGCTAGCTAAATGCTACTGTAGGTTCTAAGGCCTTCAAGATAAATTAATAATCTAGAGTATTTAAAACCCATGAAACATTTAAATTAAGTAATTTCACTTCCTAAAGGGCATGGTGGAGACTTCTCCATACATATGCACACAGACACACTTTTTAAATAAACATCGGCACTAATCACTGAGACAGAAATCAGACTGAGAGCAGAAAATATCTCGTGGAGCTTTTAATGGTTCCTCAGGGGCTCCCCTCTGACTCAGATTAGATAGGATTTAGACAAAGTTGATGCATGCACCTCTTTTACCAAAACTTGGAGTTCTTTTTTTACCCACGTAAATTATAAGGATCAGAAACTAGATTTCACTGTGTACTTTTTCAAAGATAGAATAACAACACGTTTAATTTCATTACATTAAAGCAAAGATTAAAAAGATGTGCGCCCATGCAGAAAAACAGCTATATGGAGCATTTCTGTGCAGTGGCTTTGATCAACTTTTAAAGGAAATCGATTGGAATTGATGCTCTGCCCCAATTTAGAAGACATCTCATCAAACTGAGTTACTAAGGGTCCAAAGTCTACAAGTGTTCATTTTTGTTCTCTTAGTGCTGCAAATTTAGTAATTGACTCTGATTCTTGGCCTCAGGCAGTAACCTAATAAGGCCATCCAAGGTTAATGATAGACCCTTTTTAGACTGGCTGAACGTCTGACACCGATATGTAGTGGTAGTGAAAAACAATTATTACTTACATGAGAGACACTCGGGGCAGAAGCCTCTGACATCTGAGTGAAACAATGTTATTATCTGTGTTAAGCAACGCTTTATTTGTCATAGCTTGGCCTGTGCATCAAATGAAATGGTTGTTCAGATGCTGTTATTCCCAGCAGTGTTTTTGTGTTGCTGCTTTGCAGTCGGCTCTTCCCAGGAACACCATCACTACAAATCTCAGTGATTTAACATCTTTCCCGTCCAAACAGCCGCAGTCAGCACAAGTGTCATGTGCCATTGCCAATCTGCTGTCATTGCGTCCTCTGCCAAACAATTTACTGCTTCCCCGCTTGCTTTATTAGCCATAGATTATGGCTGGTCGTGGACAGCGTAGAGCCTCTGCTGTCGAGGTAGACTGGTAATTGACTTTATGGAGGCAGGCTGGAAAATCATTTGAACGTAAAGCACATAGTCTGTAAATAGCAGTTGGATATAACTGATACATTTCTACCATTCAGCAGGATTTAATTTATCAAAGTTTTCAGTTTGTCTCATTACCATTACTTGCTAATTGCAATGCGTTTTAGCCATGCTAATGCATTTCTGTCAGTCGTTCCACTGCTTCAGTCCGGACCAAAATATTGTATATCACTTTGGTGATGTCAAGAAACACCTACTTCACATTAGCTTGCTTTTCTGATTTTAGTATTTTGGATGAATTGCCAAAGAACGATTGGTCTTCTTCTTGGTTGTCACTGTTGCAACAATGTTTTTCAATGCCAGAAAGAAATTCAAGATATTTCTTCTGGAGTTTTGGCGTGTTCCCAAATCTATCATTTGTTGGTTATGAAATCCAGTCCAAGCTGACTTTAGTCATTCTTATCTTGTCTTCATGATCTGATACAACCACTGATGTTTAATTTTAATATGACTTTTTAGTTTTGGTTAATAATAATCTTAAAGTTAAATGAAATTTGTAAAAAACCTAAAGGTATGCGCTCTCCACCACCAAACAGGGAAAAGCAAAGTGTGTAAACGTTGAAGGGAATGTGGATAAAGTTGTTTCTGCTCCATTGTTAACTTTCTTCCTTCAGAATTTCTGACAGGAGTGAGTGAATAATCTCAACAAGACTCTTAATTGATGTCATGTAAATACTAACCCTGCAAGATATCCAGTCTTTGTAACGGAGTATGTATCTTACCTAATGACCTAACTATGAGAACCACCTTTTCTGCTGTTTTTCAGAACTCTGGATCTTCAGCAGCCTCCACCCCTAACGCTCCAGTGACTGGCTACAAGCGTATGGTCATTCCAACCCAGCCACCTCTAACTGCCACCAAGAAGTCTACACCCAAACCTCAGTCTCCCGGGGGAGTTTCGTCCATCCCCCCTTCATCTGCCAGCCCCATTGCCAAGCCTCAGAGCCACACGGGCCCTCAGCCTGTCCCAGCCTCCTATGCCACAGCCTCAACCCCAAGCCAGCCAACCTTCAATGTCCAAGTAAGATCAGCCCAACCTGGCCCCCAGCAAGCTCCAGGCGGGCACCAATTTGGTCAGCAGCCCATCCGCAGCCCTGCACAGGTGCATTACATGCCTGCCCAGCCCAAGGGTCCTGACTTTGCCTATGGACCACCACAGCCGGGCTTCTCCCCAATGGCTCAGGGTGCATATCAAGAACAGTACCATCCAGGAGCACCCCAAGTCGGCGGTTTGAGGAGACCTGAGCCAGCCCCTGTCCAAGCATACCAACCACCAGGCCCCAAGAAGACCTACATCACTGATGTGCCACCAAGCTTGACTCCTTACATGTCTGGACCAGCCATACCACCAAAGGTAGGAATGTTGTTATCACACAACAAGACACTAGTTATTCCAAACATGGTTGAAAAATGTATAATAATAGAGAAAATTACAGGACTTTGACAAAAACAATCCACCCATTTATTCATTCACCCATCCGTACAATTTTTATAATTCTGACACTCTTTCGTCTCCGGATTGGTGACACTTGGCCAAGCAGACTGGCACATCCATTTACCCAGCTTTCTCTACCAGCTCCCTGTGGAGAATACCAAAGCAATCCTAGGCCAGCTGGGAGATTTAATCCCTCCAGTGAGTTTGAGGTCTGCCCTGGGGCTTCCTCCCAGTTAGGTAACCCTGGAATACCTCCTCAGGGAGGAAACCGAGAGGTTTCCTGATTGGATGCTTGAACCAAGTCAGCCTGCTTATGTAAAAAAAGAGTCCTTTTTCAAACCTCTCTGGGATCTTTAAGCTTTTCTGAGCCTAGTCTCAAAGTGTAGAATACTAATTTCATCCAAAACTATTTCTTTTTAGTACATCCTAAAATTCCATCACAATAGTTATGAGGAACAAATGGTAGAATCAAAATACAGATAAGGAGCTTCACCAATACGACATCTGCTTGACTCTAATACCTTCAAAGATCAGACTGTTGAAGCCATGCTCCATTGATTGTAAAGAAACTGTTAAACGTGATTTAAGTGTTTCACTCCTTTTGGCAGCTATGGTAGAGGTTTGTTTGTATTAGCCCTCCTTGCATTTATCAAAATTACTGCGGTGAAAGCTAAAACATTCATTCTTTTTGCGTCTTTATTCATCTTGGTTTCATGTTTGATAGTATAAAACTTGGTCAGAATGCATGGTTCCATGGAGCTGCCGTACTCTAGCACCAGGGTGCACCTAGCTGTTGGCATAATCCACAAAACTGATGTAGATAAAAAACCTTAGCTGTATAAAAGATGATTTCTAGCTTTCATAGATAACTTTCATTATTTTAATAACCTGAAGTAGCCAACTTTTGTGGATATGAAGCATTTGAAGAAAATCCAAAAAATGCCATTAAAATGAGCTTAAAAAATGGTGCACTATCCTCTACTCATTACAATGAGAATATATTCCAACAAGCTCAAATAACTGATTGTAAAGACATTTTTTTTATATATATATATATATAAGGAACTAGCTCTATTATTGTTTTTCGAATCAATATGTTCATATGTTTATACTGAAAGATTAGATAAGGATCACCCCTGATATTAGTTTAGTTCTTCTATGTTACATTTTCAAAGCACCATTAGTTTGAATGGTATTGACTTGTATAACATTTTAGCTCAGATTGTACAATTTTTGGAGTTCAAAATGTTTAAAAACTTGGACAATTGTCATCATGAAAACAAAAATACCGTGGTATGCACTGGTAGTCCATTTCTGTCTGAGAGTTCAAAGGGTTAAACTCGTTCAAAGGGTTAAACTCGTTCATGTTGGTCATAAGCTTGCTGCCAGCACTCAGGCATGGCTTTAGATGAGCCCATGTTTCTGTTGAGCCCAAGACCAGAATGAATTTATTTAATACAAAAGAAATGGGTGTGTTTGATTCTCCAAGAATGGAAGTGTGTGTTTAACAATACGTGTGTCAGTGTGCTGCGTACTGTTATGCACAAATCAGAGTAGATTTTGCAGCATCAAATGGTAATGCAGTGGGGAGCTGTTTGCAATCTTTCATTGAAAAACTCAACATAACCAGTTGTTTTAACCTTTATACATTTTTAAAAGCTCTTCTCTGTTGGGGGTTTACACTATCTGATTCCATTTGTCTCATAAAACAGAGCTTATATTCGTGTGTGTGTGTGTGTGTGTGTGTGTGTGTGTGTATATATATATATATACCTACCTATTGTGCATTTTATATCAAGGGTAAAAGCTTTGTCATACTATTTAAAATATACCATTCAACATACTATTTTAATTGTTCAGAAACTAGGCAGTCTAAAAGTTGTAATAACTGACTCTTTGTTAAACCCCTAAAACAATATTGGCAAATAACAGCTGAGTTGAAACATTAGATTCTCCCACATTGAAAGCAAAGACACAGGAGTAAACGTGTAAGAAATGGATGTAACAGTGGATTGAAGAATGATTGAAATGGAAGTTAAAATCTGAAGAATGTGCGGATAACTCATTCAGCTGACAGCCTGCAGTATCAGGCTGTGGTATAATATGGTCCTTGAAAGATCAAGGACCATATTATAAACTCATTACTTTAGTTCATGGGGTTACAGGTTATGTCAAAGAAGCTCCAGCCCTTCTTACTGCTAGCATATCCACTGTGTACTATTACCCCATTGTATGAAAGCCTATCTTGGGTGCTTTATGTTTATAGGTGAAATAAGCATCTCCAATTAAAACAATCTTGCATTACATACATATTAATCAGTTGGGGGTATTATACTTGAAGCGTGTTAATGTGAACGCTGAACTGAGAACAACAAACCCAGAGGGAGTTTGACATCATTCTCACTTTAGAAAGTAATACTCAATTATTCAAAGATATAATTTTTCATTCTGATATATTTGATATCTGCTGTTTAAATATCCACATATTATACATTGAAGACAGATGTTTTACTTTTCACAAATTAAATGGAAACAGCGTTCTTTCATGGAATAAACATTAGCTTAGTTAGCAAGCTAGCAACAATTGATCAATTCTACTGGAGAATGGAAGTGAAAAACCTGGTCCGTCTACCTTAGTCTAGTATCAAGAATCTTTAGTTTAGAAATATCACAAATCATTTGTATCTCTAAGCCATTTTGCTGGTCTGATGCATATGTGCTATGAGAGAATGAAAAGTGTAATTAGCATGGCTCGTACTTCAACATCGTCATAGCTGTAACATGTATTGCACAAAAAGCAATGACGTGTATAAAATATCACCTTTAATCCAGTAAAGATCAGTATGAGGTCGTATTAGTCTTAGCCACCTGCCTTTAAAAAAACATCATAAGATGTTGTTTTCAGCTTTAGAGCTTTTTATAGAAGAGTACATGACTGAGAAGAATAAGTAAACACAGTCATCTCAGAGAACAGTGTAATCAATGCCACAGAGACAGCTATTCTAATCTTAATATATCCAGCAGTCAACAATCTCTGGAAAGTGAAAGGCCCTTGAGTTTTCCTTAATTCAAGGATTTTATGCTGGTTCAAAATACAAACTGGGCCTCTCAGCCTCTGGGAATAGCTCATCAAGGACTGTACTTTACTAAATACAAATTAGTTTCAACGTTGCAGAGAGAAAAAACTTAAAAATAAGTCTAATTATATTTGTTCAGAACAAAAGTCTACATATTGCTTGAAAAGCCGGCTTTGGTCCCAGTTTGATGCATTATTAAAAAACAAAAGGTGCCGTTTAATAGATTTGTGAGCTTTTCTTTGATTTCAGATAAAAGCAAATCACTAATTTTACAGAGATAGCATGTACGCTGTATATATTGGTCTTCTTTCCCAAGGATATACTGTAGCAGGATAATGGGCTCTGTGCCCACCTCCTCCCTCTCCCATGTGCTTTATTTGTCTGCTTTGAATCATATCAAGAACCTTGATGCTCCATACGTACACTTTCAGTTGGATGATGTGCTGTAAATGACTGTGGTTTCACATCATGTTTGACCCGGCCCTCCACTAAAGCCTTTGTATCCAAACCTTGGCTTTAATCTGAGTTTTGTTTGTGTCTAGTGTAGCAGATATTTCAAGCCAAAATCAACCAGAGACACTATAAAAGCAAGATTAGACTGAATGTAGAATCTGTCTACTATGGTTTTATCATCATCACTCCACTTGACCCAATCTCATGACATGTTCATAACCTTCTACAAATGGTGTTAAATCGCCTTAAAATAAGTGTGTTGCTCCCCTTTTAATCTGTTGTGTAAATAAACCAAAACGCAGTCAATTAAAGGAACTATTTCCATATTTGTCATAATTATCAAAAATGATCTCCACGCTCTTAGAGTTCATGGTTATTTTATGTAATACCCGTTCTCAGTAGGGGGTCTGTGACTTTGATTGAGGACTTTATTCAAGAGATCAAGAGGGTATTCATAGAAGGTCAGTTTCATTAGAAGTCCAAGATGAACTCCTTGGATGAAACACTGTGATCTAGACTTGTTCCGATTAGCTCGCACGCTCTGCGTCCCACTTCACCCTCAGTCAACCCCTGCTGCTACCCAGCACCCAATCCCTCCAATGTGCTCCGCTCACACGTAGACGGAAGGTGTAAGAACAGATTTGCACATCAACAGGCTCCAAGATGCTTAATTACCCAAATCCACCACTGTTTGATCTCCATTGTAGTCCGAAAAATTAACAGATTTCATGGCTGCCGGTTAACATCCCAATTTCCACGAGTCCCTGCGTCTTTCCCGAAATTGGAGGAAAGCTAAGCTGGATGATGACTTGTGTTATTGCTGAGCTTGAGTGACGTTTGACAGGGGGGGATTATTTTGAACCACTCGATCCCTGCAGCCAGTTAAAGCCCCCTCGAAGGTCAATGACGGTTTCAACTGTCACACATGTTAAAATATCTGACATTTCTCTGCCTTCTGGTTCCGGCCACTTTGCCTTTTGACCTGCATGACAAAATTTACATATGGTGCCATCATGACATGTTTTTATATAGTGATTGGCAGAAACCATTATTAATCTCCCTCAATTTTCTTTAAAAATGTCAAAACCCAAAAGAAAGTTATGAAAGCTTATTGAAATAAGCAATTCACAGTCTAAATATAAGCATTATTTGAGAAATACATTTGGCTTTACACTAATAGTGTTTTTAAATATACTTCGATTAAGTATGCATTTTTTACTGATAAAAAAAACCCCAGCAGCACACTGTCTGTTGCTAAATATGTAACATTTCTGTCCAGTGTGCTGAATGACCTAGCGGTTATGGCACACAAAAAAATCCTGACCGAGTTATTTTTGTAGCAAAAATAAATCTAAATTTAAACATTTGAATTAAATTTTAAAAAAGGAT